TGAGTAAATCGGTTTGGCTGAGATTAAAGTTATTAGATTAGATTAAATTAAATTTAACTTTATTAATCCTTCGGGAGGGTTCCTTCGGGGTTCTGATTCAGATGAATAAATGTCAAACAGAAAATGATTAAACAGAAGAGTTTACGTCAGTGCCCGGTCATATTTTAGATAGAAAGGAGCAGACGGCAGAGCTTCACTTCTTTAGACCGCGAAGGCCGGGTCCTCAGGTGGAAGTAGCCTCTGAATTTGGACACTCCCGCTGTTTCGGGGCCGGCCAATAATAACGGTGACATTTAACGTATTTTGTCCGATAAATAAACACTGTAAAATGTATTTACCCCCCCTCCCAACAATCCTTTTGAATGTCTCCCTAGTATGACACCTGTTCTGGGAATTTCTCCTACCCCGTAAACCGTCCTACCCGTTGTTCCTGAGCATGTGCACGCATGCGCACAACACAAAAAGGGAAGCTAAGCGCATCTGGCTATGATTTCACGCTACTCCGTTGTCATATTTGCAGGAGAATAGGTAAGTAGTAAGTATTAGTACTTTTTTATTGACGTTGATACTTGATTTTTTAAGCCTTTGTGATTGTTTGTCAATATTAAAGTGAAGTCGCTATCTGCTTTCTGCACAAAACTGTCGAATTTGCAGCTTTGGTGAAGTCTGCTGTCAAGTTACTGGACACGTGGTATTTGCACAACACTTTTGAGTCCGCAGCTTCGGTGTTTTAAGGCTGTTTCGGTAATGTCGTTATTTAATAAGTTAAATTATTTGCATTGTTAACTGCACATATTGAAGCTCATAAGAAAATGTTTACTTACATTCGTAGATATGGAGAAGAAGTGGGAAGAGATTTACGCGTTCATTTCTGCGGGCTCCTACCCTTCAGGATATGACAAGGCTCAGAGGCAAAACCTCAGACGATATGCCTCAAAATTCAAACAAAAGGGTCAGTAATTTATTGTTAATACTAACAACTCATATGTGGTTAAATTAATTTCTAAATATATATTGTTTTACTGCAGATGGAGAACTCTTTGTTGGAACCAGAAGAGTAGTAAAAACCATGGATGATGCCAGGAAGATATTTCATGAGTTTCATTCATCTCCAATTG